GGACCCTCACAGAACAGCGGATCCTACTCCATGTCCCCTCCACATCAAGGGAAGGCAGAGAACAGAATTGGAGAGACCCAGGTGAACCGTCAGCCCCCACTTCTCCAGAAAGCCCTGGGAGGAGCCTTTCGGGAAGTCTCCCTTCCGGTCCAGTTCTGGGTCTGAGCTCTTCTGGATCTAGGATCCCGGCCCTGCCTGGGAACACACTGTTCTCCCTTGAGCGTCTCGAGCTGCCCCATCTTGCCCATGTCTGTGGTCTCAGGGGGGCAGGGCGGTGTGAGGAAGGGTGCTGGAGGAGAGGGGGAGAGGATGTGAGGGTCAGGGGAACCCTGCCCTGGGCTCTTGGGAAACGCGTGACTGTGCACGGCCCCTGGGGATGACTGAGGACGGGACTGCGTGACAGAACGCCTCCTAAATTCAGCCTGAATGGCATTCCTTGGCGACTCCCATCTCCTAAGCCCAGGTCACACACAAAACACGCCTAGAATTCACATCTTTATTGAAACGCAAAATCACGCCCTCAACGATGGGTCGAGGACTTGGTCCTTGCATGTGAGACAGGTCACAGGCGACTGTACGCAATATGCGTAACCGGCAAGTCATAGGTCAACTGCTCGTGGTGCGGGGCTCTGGGACATGTGAACCTGGCCCCAAACCACCCGGAGAGAAATGTCAGAGAACATTCCTCAGACAGGGGGGGCTACGAAAACCCAGTAGATCATAAGGAAACAGGTCAGGCCATCGGGACCCACAGCCGGGAGAAACAAGGCCATTGGAGGATAGGCAAAGAGCGGCACGGCCAACGGGGGAGGCCAGAGCAGCAGCGGGACCTGGGGAACACAGATCCAGTGTGGCTGATTCAGGAAGACACCATAGAAGATGACGACAGGCTGGCTCTGGACCACGGGGGGCACGTTTCTGATCCTGCATGCCCTCTGGCCTCTCCTCCACCTGGCTCTCCTATTCCTAAACCAAACCTTCAGAGAGAAACGAGGGAGTGCGTTAGTACAGGGAGCACCCACCGTCACGACAGAACATACACTGTGTCCTCAGCGTTTTGAACTCAGCACAGGTAACTCAGGTCACCTTGGTCCACACATCTTTCTTGACTGCAAAATATCTCAGGAAAGGCCATGCCACCCCTCCCTTAGGGAGCTCCAGCTATGAGCCAAGGTTGGGCTTGGCTTATGGCTTTGTCTCTCTTCTCCGACCTTCACTACTGTTTCATTTCCCTCTTACACTGTAGTACGTGAGGCTGAGGAGTTGCACTCAGTCCCTGCTGCCATTGCTACGCCTGACGGGTCTGTCTCCTGATGGCTGACCATCAGCTCTCCAGCTGCCACCACACCCTCCTCACCCAGGGCGTGTAGCCCTGGTATGGGGGAAGCTGAGCCTGGTAAAATAGGGGTGCCTTTAAGTCATACAGAGGGAAATGGCCCTCATTTTGAAAAGTTCAATTTCAGTGTAAAGTAAATGATCAACGTGATGTTCTGGGAGGTTGACCCAGATGGGAAGGGTCTGGGTTCGTGTCTGGACAATTACCTGCATGGGAAACATGAATGTGCCGATGGTCAGGGGCTGGCTGAACCTGGAGTGGGTTGGAGCATGGAAAATTGTTTGGGGTACTGTCTGCCTGCCTCTCTCAGGCATGAAAGAAATAAAGATTAAAAAGAATGATCAATAAGAGCATGTTGTATTTTTAAACAGAATGTTTTCGTCAAGGGTGACTAAGGCTTCATTCGTCCTCTGAAGCCTCGTGAAAGTTATAAATATAGAGGCCAGATGAACCTGGAGTGGGTTGGAGCATGGAAAATTGTTTGGGGTACTGTCTGCCTGCCTCTCTCAGGCATGAAAGAAATAAAGATTAAAAAGAATGATCAATAAGAGCATGTTGTATTTTTAAACAGAATGTTTTCGTCAAGGGTGACTAAGGCTTCATTCGTCCTCTGAAGCCTCGTGAAAGTTATAAATATAGAGGCCAGAATGTGGTGTGGTGGTCAAGGCACAGCTCTTTCTCATGGCCAACTATGGTTCGAGTCCTGGACCCAGAAGCTTGCTTTTTCACTTTCCCCTTCTCTGTCTTGGGTCAAATTACATAATAATAATAATAATAATAAATAAAATTAAGCAAATAATTATTTGAAACAAAAAAGATATACACCATGACCAGGGAGGCTTTATCCCAGGGATGCAAGGATGGTTCAACACACACACACACACACACACACACACACACACACACAAACACAAGAAAGTTAGAGATATGGTACTGCATGGAAGGTCTGGTCATGGGGTGCAGGCTAGTGAGTCTGTGGCTTATCTTACTGGGAAACAGAAGTAGCTGAAGCCCTGAACTTTGACTTGATATTTTATACTTTAGGAGTAATTAATGTTTATATTAATTCTGCTCACATTCACTAAAACTTAAAAATCTTTACCCAGTAAAGACTTCGCAGTGGAAGAAGCACTGCCAATTCCGCATGCTACATGTCCCACCCTCCAAACCTTTCTGGGCTCAGGACAAGATCAGCTCACTCTGCTATAGCTTTTGTTTCAAGATCTTTCACCATAGCTGCTGTGGCTCAGCATGGCAGGACCCCCCAGACCCTGCTGCTCAACAAGGAGATCCCATTCCCATCACCAGTTCCTAACACAGCAAAGTGGAACTAGGTATTACAGGGAGGAGTTTAACAACAAAATTGGAAAGGGCCTACACAGGCTCCTCCCCAAATACCCGTCAAGTATTAATAACCAAAGCAAGCAAACCAAAGCCCTGCCCTTTAGACTACACTGTCTCTTCAGCATCATAGGTAATGGAATTACACTGCATTTAAGACTTTTGAGATATCCCAATATGCAAATTTTTCATGAGACAAAGGACCTGCTCTACCTCTGTCTGATGCCTCATTTTCCCTCTCCCTTCTTAGTGTTTGGGGGTTTCTACTACGTGAATATATAGTCTCTTAATATTCCAGTGTAGGGGACCAGCAGATGGCGTAATGGCTACGTCACTGGACTCCCATGTAGTCGACCGCAGTTCAAGTCCTGAACCCAGTGGCTTAAACTCATTCCAGGTGCGTGTGCGTGCGTGCGTGCCCAAGATCCCAAGAGGAGAATTGGAAGAGAAGGAATTGTGACATGGCCATCCCCCTGGGGGGTGATTTCTCGCTTTCCGTCTCTGTCTCTGTCTTTCTGGTGAGCTCATGTGCCTAATAACAAAAACCTCTCAAAAAAAAAAAAAAACAGTGTGGTAGGGGAGGAGGAGGTATCACTGATCAAATCTTCATAAACATAAACAAAATCCAAAGTAAGCTAACTGTGGTATAGGTTGATATTATTATAGTTCTATATTCTCAATGCTGTTTTCATAGACAACTCTTAACTGTATTGAAAAATGGGAGGCAGGGAGAGACATGTATTAAGATTGGGGGGGGCAGCAGGTGGCGTGATGGTTAAGGCACTGGACTTCCACATGGCTGATCGTGGTTCAGGTCCCAGACCCAGCAGCTTGAAACTCAGGCCAGGTATGTATGCATTCATGCCCCAAATCCCAGGATAATGAAGAAGGGATTGTGGTGTGGCTATCCCCCCGGGGAATGATTTCTCACTTTCCTTCTCACAGTCTCTCTCTCTCTCTCTCTTGCTCTCTCTCGCTCTCCAGTGAGCACTCACGCCCTATGGCAAAAATCTTAAAAAAAAAGTTTGGGGGGGGGGGGGGGGGGTGGATATGAAAAATTTTGGGGGGGGGGGTGGATGCTGTATAGTCTGGAAACAAATTCAAACATTATGTCTTTTTCCTTTTTCGTCATGGCCCCTTTTCCCTTTAGAACCACTTTGAGAGATACTTGCAAACCCATGGTGGGGGGTAAATCAAGTCTCCAAAACTTAAGCTCGTCTTTTCCTCTAAGCTTATTCTGCTTGTCTGAAAAAAGGAGGCAGAGTCCTTCCAACCCCTGACTGGTCCTGACCATGAGGCCGACCTTGAAGCACTCAGTGGCCTACTTGGTAGGGCTGCTTTTGTGGATACGCACAGTCAGATCTGCAGCGCGTTTCCGCCACTGCACTCACACACACTCTGCAGGAAAGCTCATATCATCCTTTTTGTCTGTTTCCTCTTTTTTTCCTTTTCCTTTTGCAAATACTCTTTTGACTCAACTTATCAAAGTTCTGTGGGCTGAAATAATCAGCTTCTGACCTCATGAGCTACAAATTAGTTGTTACTGCCTGAGGAAATGAAAATGCATTACCAATGAACACAAGAATCCAACTTGGATTAAGAGCCAATCACCAAACATCACAAATAAATTCACCAAAACCTATCTCTTCATGAAAGTACCATATAAAGGAAAGAAAAAATAACCTTATATCTTATATGTTAGAAATTTCTCAGTAGAAAATCAATTACTATATTTGTTAGCCTCATCATATTGAATTTGTATAGTATCTCCAAAGCATATACTGACAGCATACAAATATTCTTTAACCTTTCTACCTTTTCCACTCAGTGGCTCTTTTTTCTCAATTGCTCTTTTGGTTTGTTTGCTTGTTTAATTTTGAGATTAATTTTCAAAGGTTGCAAGCCCATTGTCCATCTCCACCAAACTGCACAATCTACTATGTGAGCAGTATTTTCAATCTGTGACATCGACATCAGAAAATCCCAGAAATGAAAACCTAGGGCTGACTCTCTAGGCTGCTTTAAGATATAAACAAACAAACAAGTGAAAAAAAAAAAAAAAACAGCAAAGAGGATGAGGCATTTGGAATATTTTTTTAAAGAGGCTTTTGCTATAGGGTGCATGCACTCTCCAGAGAGACAGAGCCAGAAAATGCACTCTCCAGAGAGACAGAGACAGAAAATGAGAAATCACTTCCCCAGGGGGAATGGCCATGCCGCAATCCCTTCTCCTCCATTCTCCTCTCAGGATCTTGGGCACGCACACACACACGCCTGGCGTGAGTTTAAGCCACCGGGTCTGGGACTCGAACCATGGTTGACTAAAAATAAGAAATGCTTCATGAATGTTCATGTCATCCTTGTGCAGGGGCCACGCTAATCTTCTCTGTATCATTCCAATTTTAGTATATGTGCTGCCAAAGCGAGCACACATTTGGAATCTTAAGCTATGTCCTTCCCCATCTGTTTCAGTTTAAGTAAACATACCTTAGTTGCTCATATGTTATATTCTGTGTGATTATCCCTTCACCCAAATGCATAGATATTTATAAATTAATTACTTGTATAAAGAGTTTTTGACTTCTTTTAAATTTTTAAATAATTTAGGGCTACACATGAACCCTTTTATAATTCTGAAGTCAAAGACTCAGTCCCAACATAATTCCACACAGAACTACCTACTAAAGGATATCAGTATTACAAGAAGTTGAGCTATATTAGTAATAAACACACCATTTATATATACACTTACACACACACACACATATATATATTTCTCTAGGAAATCCTGTTCACTCTGGTAATAGAACATTTCCATAAGGTAAGGTTTTCTTATCCTATTTTCCACCCATAAAGACCTCAAAGTTTGTGCTTGCTTCGGCAGCACATATACTAAAATTGGAATGATA